GAAAAAAATGCTGTTTTACTTAATTATTCATGGACAATGTATTCTAGTGGTTCTTCATCGGAGTTATTAGTTAACTGCTTCATTTATATATTGCTTTTGCCTTGTTTTGTTTAGTTTCTTCTTTCAGTGCCTCAGTTTTACATTCCTTTTGTATATGGCATGTTCTCCTTTTTGTAGGATTTCATTATTCATTAGAAAAAATATTCTGTTCCAGGATTATTCTATTTCATCAATAAAAATGAGAGATTCTGGTTCTTGTGGTGGCAAAAGAAGTCATCATACTCTGTCTAAGGCAGAGATTGATGAGAAGGTGATAGAAAAGGGGCATTTCGCTTCCTTTTTTCTTTTAGAGCTCTTGCTAAGTTTGTGTCATGATCACTTTATTTAGTTGGTACATATTGCACATAGGGTTCTCCTTCTGTCCAGGTTACACAGACACCAGTATCAAAAATTTTGAAGAGAGTAGAAAATGCAAATGGTGAAAGTGTATTGGGCATTCCTAAGCGCCATAAAAAGGTTCCACTTCTACATTGGACTGGACATACACACAGCACACATGTATTTCCATGTCATGTCCATATGTCTTTGTACTTAATTACTCCTTGAAAGGCAGGTAACACATCATGAATATGAAATTGAAACCAACAATGGAAGAACAATCACAAAGAGGAAAAAAACAAAAAGTACAGTCATGTTTGAGGTATGTAGTGGCTATTTTTGAGCTTCAGTTGATCTTCATGCATATACACTTTATCTGAAAGAAATTTTTGTACAAGAGATCGTTGATAACTAGCACTGTGTTTCATATGTTAGTATTTACTGTACAGTCTTTTTCATGGTTATAACAGGATCCACGGAAAGACAAGAAAATGAAAACACCGAAAGCTACTCCCAGAACAGAGGTGAAGGTAACCAAAAGCCACATTATTCTTTTCAGATTCCCTCTTTGGAATTATTTGTTATGGTCCAATTGTACATTTTTACTTTTTTAATTTTTCTTCGCGCTTTTTTTCTCAATTTAACTACTTGAGGAAATAATTTAACAGTTCATTGGAGCAAATTTGAAGAATAAAAATGAACAAATAGAGAATTGACACCAAAAGTTCTTTAAGTTTTCAGTGATCTCCCACCAGATCGTGAAAAATGGCAATAGAAATGGAGCATGCTCATCAAAGTGGTTGAAAAACTCATACCTGCTCTGCTTTGTTTGAGTTGACTCGCAATCTTTTATAACAGGGGGAACAAGTTTCATTTCCACAATGAAATCGAATTAACCACCAATTGTAAAATAAAAAAAGAACATTCTGAAATCCAAACATGAGCATGAAGTTGATTTAGAAGATGCATTTAGATGAAAAATTCATAAATACAAGAGGAGAAGAAACCTATGTGATTTTAAGTACAAATACAGTGAAAATGACAACACTTCTTCTTTTTCTCAAAGAGAAAACAAGAGAACCGCTAGATTTGCTTTAATATCGTGCAGTCTAGTGAATATGGTTGCTAGCACCAGCCATTATTGTAGGATATATCTTACTATGAAATTGAAAATGTTACATCATCACCTTAGTTCTGCATATCTGAATCCTTAACTATTCATTCTTTTTCTTGTGAAAATTTCCTACTTCAGTTTGTTGTTGCAACCTATTATCCCAAAATACAAAATGGAACATATAAACTCACAAAAGAGTGTAGAATTCATTGTATAGTTCACATTTTTATGATTAGAATTAGTTCAAGCTATTTTAATTTCATATGAAATTGAGCATGTACACTACAAACCCCAGCTAATTTCATGGAATTTGGAAATGAATTAGTGTGAGGAAAATGGATCCAAATGTGTTCTATATTCTTCTTGTTTCCCCAAATGTAATCTATTAAATTCAACAAAATATTTCAAACAACTTCCTATCCAAGTTATGTACAAATGAGTGAATTTTCAAACAAAGAGATACTACAGCGTGTAAGTTTTCTTTAGTCCTGCATAATGCGTGTACATTTTGCAGCGTGTGAAGGCTAGGGGAACTCCACGTCCTTCAAATATAGGTGACTTGTTTTCAGAAGGTTCCCTAAATCCATATGCCGACGATCCTTATGCATTTGATTAAAAGGTACACAAAAGAATATACTAATATGTCATTGTGGTATTGCTTATTATTGTTATGCTGAGAAAATACATTTTTTATAGATATATATAGGAAGTGAAATTATGCAAAAACTACTATTTTCTAGCACTTGCATGTAAACTGGAGCAAATAGCTTGTCACCAGCTTTAACAGACAACTGGAACTTGTCACAAATTTTAATGTTCAACAAACAATCCTATTATTAAAACAATAACCAAAAAGTTCTTAGCTTGACATTAGAACTTCAACCAATAAGAAATAACGAACAAATTTCATTTGAACAACAAATTCAAACTTGAGTCACACTTGGTACCAAACTTCAAGTGATGTTGGACAAATTAGGTTGATTTGTTCAATTAGGAATTTGAGATAACAAACTTAGATATCAAATTTGGGATTTCTTAGACATCACATTTTAGAAGTCTTGAGCATCACAATAAAAGATTTGATTGCATTACACGACCAAAGACTAAGAGACTCTCAAAATATATTATTGAGTACCTGAATTTTTCCGAATGAAATTAAAAAGCTGTTTTTAATAATTTTTAAGTAACTTTTCATATATAGAATTAAACTAAGAGATAATAAACTTATAGAATTAGAGATATTAATCCTAATTTAAAATAAGAAACTATTAGAAATACTGATTCTAATACAAATAGAAAATATTAAAGTAAATATGAAAATACTAATTAAAAATAAAACTTCTCAGTTGCTAAAACTATCATAATACTCTTCATTAATATATATTTCTAAATAATAAGTGGTTTTATATTTAATCTATTACAATTTCTAAACTATTTAAGAAATTTATTACTAGTCCATTCTGCATCATCAAGCTTCAAAAAATGACTTATTACAATCCTTTTTCCTTTTTTTTTTTTTTGCTAGGGGAAGTACCCTGTGGATAAATAACTTTTACTCCTAAGCAACAAGCTCTGAGGGCACATAAACGTTGTGAGATAACTAGCCTTCATTCCCTTGAACAACGACCTCTTAAGCAGTACAATGAGAAAATACTGAGAATAGCTATCTCTTGAAGCCAATGCAGTTCTAATGGCATTTTAACAATATCCTAATTATATTTATAAATTCTATAAGGATAATTCATTGTTCCAAATATAGCCTAGATAAAATAAAGAAAAATGTAATTATGAATATTTAATATTAACAAACTAAGAAAGCTAGTTATGGAAAATCTAAGAATGGTGGAACAATAGAAGACTGATGGGAAGAAACAATAACCACTAAATCAAAGGCTCGGTGAATTTTATCATTGGGGGTGGTGAACTGAACCAGGTGGAAGTTGCTATGTGCTAGGCCTATTGCTATACATCATGTTGAATAAACAAAAATATTATTATGGTATTGTTGTTGTTCTTGTTGTTATTTTCATTATTGTGTCGAAAAATAGAAAACTAATTGTTTTAGCTAAAATGATACCATCATTATGTTGAAAAATAGAAAAGAACTAATTATTACTCCCTAACTATTTGCTTTTATGATCGTATTAGAAAATCCTTTTCTATATTCTTAGCTAAAATAATACAAAAATTTTGTGGTAAATCTTTTTCTTGAAGCTACCATGGAAAGTAAGCTCTATTCTATAGCTATTAATGTTTCTTAGTTTACGTTTAGAACAATTAATTTCGCCAAAAAATGTAATCCCTGCAGATGATTTTCTATACTTTTTTCCA